TTTTTAATATTTTTATTTATTTCCAGGAGAGAGAGAGAGAGACAGCGTGAGCAGGGGAGGGTCAGAGAGAGAGGGAGTCACAGACCGAAACAGGCCCCAGGCTCTGAGCTGGCAGTCAGCACAGAGCCCGACGCGGGGCCCGAACCCACGAACCGCGAGCTCATGACCTGAGCGAAAGTCGGACGCTTAACCGACTGAGCCACCCAGGCGCCCCTCAAGTACACTATTTTCAAGTGGAGCAGTTATACATGGTCAGTCATGACATACACTTGACTCAGTGGGATATTTCCCTGGGAGGCATCTGTTCATTCACGGTGGGGCTTTGTTCGTGGCCATATATCTGTGCTGCGGGTAAATCCTGGCCTAAAACAGGGGTTCTCACAGCGTGCTCTATGCCCAGGGTGTCAGCGTCACTGGGGAGTTCATTAGGAATACAGATTCTTGGCTCCCACCCCAGAGCGGCTGAATCAGGAAGTCTGCTGGATGTGACCCCAAAGGGGTGAGAGAACACACACTGTCTGTCGATATCGACAGAGGAACAAGCAACCAAGGGGACGATCAAGATGCTTCAGGGACAGGCGTCACTTGCGTAACTTTATTTTTTTAAATGCTCATTTATTTCTTTTGAGAGAGAGAGAGACAGAGAGAGAGAGAGGGAGAGAGAATCCCAAGCAGGCTCTGCACTATCAGTGCAGAGCCTGATGCGAGGCTCGAACTCACAAACCGCGAGATGACCTGAGCTGAAACTGAGTCAGATGCTTAATGGACTGAGCCACCCAGGCGCCCCCAGATAAAGCTAGATTATATCACTCAATAAGCGAGGAAGCAGCCTGAAACATACACCTCTGCTCCACTTCCTTCTCTTGATACTGTGACGTAAGACTCACAGCCATTTAGTCAATGCAAATACTTTAGTCATACTCTGTGGTCCGAGGCCAGAGCCATGTTGCTGCAGAGTCAGAAAAAAACGAGAGAAACCTCCTTCTGCCTCCTCTCGATTACACGAAAACGATATAAATGAAGCCGAACTTCCCCAAAAATGCACCCCCATGATGTCTCTGGTGGTCAGTTCTTTCAGAATCCCCAGCACACTGATGGAGAGGACACACAGCCAGTATGTTCTGGAAGGTACAGGGGAAGGGGTGCTCTCCTCCGCTTCCCACAGCCTAGGAGTAGTGCACCGACACCAGCCAGGCTGGCCCAGGGGGCCCCTGGTCGGCTGGTACAGCTTAGAAACCTGCTTCCTCTCCCGGCATCCCCAACTCCTGACTTTTCCCACGCTTTCTACCCAACAGTATTGCGAGAGCTAATGCTCTTAGAAGCACTAAGCTTCATGAGCCAGCAAACTGCAAATAAAGGAACATTTTAAGGGAAAGGACACTTTTGAACCACATCTTTGCTTCAGAACTAGTCCACGTGTCACATTGCCTGTACTTCTCCTGTCTCAGCTGCTAAAGGGAAGAGTCTTCAGCTAAGTACACATGGCTTCTAGGTGACCACAGTCTCTGTTCGTGGAGGGGATCAAGGGCATGTTCTTGGAGGGTGCAGGAGAAAGCAACCTGAATTAGGGTATCATCACCCTAAAACGCCCCCCATTTGAAAACTGATGTAATACAAAAGAGAAGGGAGCCGGGCTGTTAGCAAATACAATCAGACAGTGTAACTTGGATACGGGAACTGCTCACATTTGGTGCCAGGCCAATGGCGGGCACTGGGTAAGATCACCTGGCTCTAGACAGCTAGCCCTGGCGGCATCTGGGTATCCACAGACATCATCTGTCTGTGTACTCACCCAGGGGCAATCCCCGCTCCTCAAAAGGAGCTGCTAAATTATATTTCAAGGCCTCGTTAGCTTACCAAATTCCACATCTCACACAAACAACAGAAGAAGGAAAGTATTAGCTAACAGCATTGTGCCTTATTGATGAATGCCCTTAAAAGCAACGACAGATGACGACTGGCTTCCGAGTTGCTGCTTTCTGAGCTCTGTCATTAGTGCATTGTTTCTGCCTTTGTCACAGGACGTGATGGGGATGGGATGTCATACAGTGTTGTTACTGACGTACTCAGTAATTACAGCACTGCATCCTCAGGTCTTGTATAAGTAGGTATTATTTCTGACCCTGAGGACCCTGGGAACAAATGATATTGGCACAATGTTTCTGGGAACTTTCTCTCTTAAAACAAAGAAGCAGCTTTGATGGTATCAATAACGGCTCCAGAAGCCAAGAATCTTCATTCTTTTTTTTTTTTAAATTTTTTTAACATTTATTCATTATTGAGAGAGAGAGAGACACAGAGCATGAGCACAGGAGGGGCAGAGAAAGAGGGAGACACAGAATCCGAAGCAGCTCCAGGCTCTGAGCTGTCAGCACAGAGCCCGATGCGGGGCTCAAACCCACAAACTGTGAGATCATGACCTGAGCTGAAGTCAGATGCCTAACCAACTGAGCCAGCTAGGCGCCCCCTTCATTCTTGAGACCATAGGATGACCAAGTTGCCAGCAGAGGTAGACCTGCAGCCACCGAGGGAGCTCCACCTGGGGCAGGTGCACCCAGGGGTCTTTGAGACCAGGGTAATCGCTGATGTTTCTATTTGCCAAACTACGTAAATAGACACATTTACTTGTGCGGAAGGTCAAGAGACTTAAAAACAGGCACCTCTTTTCACTGCATTTTCCTATTCTCTACTAGGAAGCAATACAAAAGAAATAACAGAAGGCATAAACACATGAATTCACACATACTGACGTTCACCAGAGTGCTGGTAAAGAATCAGAACAGTTGAAAGCAACCTGGTCCATTCCTCAGATAGAATTCTCTGGTTAAACATTTTCTTTTGAAAAAAACACAAAAAACAAAAAAAATAGTATCATGACATGAAAAAAAAAGATGCTCAATTAGATTAAGTAGAAAAGTCAGGAATATATAACAATACAATCTGAATTGTATGGTACAAATTCGGTATTTACCTAGAAAAACAGACTGAAGGAAAAGAAACCAAAGTGCATTCATTAGGGGCTATGTCAGAGTGGTATGATCTGAGGGATGATGAAAATTCTTCATTTCATGCTTTTTGGTATTTACAAATACATATGGATGTCTCCCATTGGAGAATGCTTTAGACATACCAAGTAATCAACAAACCGGAATGACAACTAAAATGATATTGCTGGCTCTAACGTCTGCCACTGTCAAAGCTGGTCCCTGGTTCCCTGCCATGGAACTTCTATGGACATCCCGGCTCCGTACCAGGCACTTACCTGCGACGGTGTCGTCACACTGATTTCCGGAACAAAGTTGTCCTCAAAGAAACTGATGATGTTCTCCTGTTGAAGTTCCTTTGTTGGGGTGACTTTAGGCAGAGGTGGGACAGGAGGCCCTTTCCTGGTCTACAAAACATCAGAAACACACGCAAACTAGTTTGGCCAAAGACAACATGTGAGATGTGTCGAAATGCCATGAGAACAGTCCTGGGCGGACATGTCGGTCCCCAACAGATTTAGATGTGTGAACAGAAATAAGAACCCCGAACAGAGCAGAGAACTCTGTCATCCTTGCGGGCTCTCTGAGCACCGACAAGTAAGGGTCCCATGAGAAATACTCAGGCAACGAGACTCCATGCATCTCAAAACAAGCGCGATGCGCAGGGCCGGCCGCCTCTGCCTCTAGAGTTAAAATGAAGGCAATGTCTTTTTTGGAGTCCACTGAAAATGATTTCTCATTTCAACAATAAATTAGACTTTGAACACTAGCATCAGGAAAACTCGTCAGTAGAATCAGTGAGACCACCCGTAAACAGCACACATTTCACTTCCCACACGAGTGTTCCGAGGAGTAGGAACTTTACAGATCTATTCCATGGATCTTCTCACGACTCGCCTTAGTTTCAGAGCTTGAACTGCACTGGGGACTTCTAGTCTTCCTGGAGGGATTTCTCCTTTACCCAAAGTGGGGAAGACCAGGGCGGCAATGTTTCTCTGCATTTTCCTTTTCTAGCCTTTACTGTTTTCCCCACTCGTCTCTTCTAGATGCTTTTGCTGAGTGTCTACTCATGTGCCACATACTGGGGGGAATCCCAAAAATGTGAAAAGGCATATAGACATCATGGCTTTCTTGGCCATACTTGACCCGAGTGTAACTGAAAGTGCTGGAGGAAAGAAGGTCCTGGCAGAAGGTAGGATGGATCGGAGCCTTCCTGAGAGCAAGAGGTGAGAGGAGAGGAGGGCACGCAAGCCTCAGGAAGCGAGGCTATGGACAGAGGCCTCAACACACTCAAAGGTGGTGTGAGGATGTAGGCATCCAAACTGGAAAAACAGCTTGATTCCTTAGTGACCTCTCAATGCCTACAGCCTTGAAGTCTCCCCAACAGGAAACTCCTCAATCCACCAGCACCATGGGATTATCCCAGACGGGGGTCCTCACCACGAGTTCTTCCACCCACCCCAGTATATTTGACCTCTTCCTACCTGTGAAGGTGACCTAGGCCTTGCCGGCGCAGGAGACGCAGGTGCCAGCGTGTGATTGGGACTCGCTGTTGGACTCGGGATGGGCGAAGCCTCCTCGGGCGGCGATGGCGTCTTTGCGATGCGGAGTGGACCAGAATCGCTGGATGAACACATGAGAGTGAGCAACGGGCAGTCTAAAGGACGGAACTTACATTTCAGGGGCCTTCCATCCCAAAGGTTTCCTGAGGCATGACAGGTTCTGGCTGTCACCTACCCCCTTCTAGGTTAATTCTGGTTGTTATGAACAGTATTGTCCACTGAGTGCCAGGCCCCATTTGTAATCCATCATCTGTAACTGTCACAATAGTCATGTCTTACTGTCCCTGCTTTACAGGTGAGTAAAGTGAGGCACAGAGAGGTTAAAACCCCTGACATTACAGCATTTGGCTGGCTCTGAATTCAGGCCTTGGGAATCCACCCCCCCTGTTCTTTCCACTGTGCCAAATAGGCTCTCCAAGAATCTTCTAGAGAAAAGCTGAATTCACTGCCCCACTTTCAACTTTTGATTTCCTAGAGAATGTTACTATGTCATAATCAATAGAAAAACCTACACTGAAAATGATAAATTTTATGTTAAAGACATCCTCAAGAGAGCACTAAGATTTTACAGGAGTCTTGTCTGATAAATAACAGTTGGAAACAAATTCATTAGATTTTCCCCTTTCTACGCCTTATAAGACAATGACTGAACTCAGACTCCTTGACGGGCATGAACAAATTATGTGAAGGCAGACTGTCAATAATAGTTCTTGAGAACTCGTTCCATTCCTGGCACCAGGCCAGAGGCTTGGGACCAGCTCAAAGGTGATGAACAGGAGAGGGGCCCTTGGGACACATCCTACTCGCTAAGACCTAGCATCTACAGATTGAGGGAACAGGGTCTCTACCCCAAAATAACTAGCGCATACACCACAGCATGGTCTACATATCCAAGGGAGTGAGTCCTACAGGGAATGTGGATGGACCACATGATTGAGGCTACGGGCCAGCAATCATGGCCTCTGTTTGGAAGCATGGTTCCAATCTACGCTCCACAGGGAGCCCACTGAGCTCACTCACCACCTCGTTCTGCGGAGGAGTATTGAAAAAAACCAAAGGGACATTTGGTAAGTGGCCATGGCCCCACTCCGTCTTCATTTTATCTGATTCAGCAACACTGAAGCTTTCACACACATTTGTTTCACGTCTCAATGAGGGAGTGCCCCTTAAGTTTTTCACGTGCTTCACAGTGAAAACACCCAATGTCATTGTGACGTTCTTATTACACCTTTCTCTTTGTTCCAAGGTCATACTGAGATACTGTATTGGAAAGAGAGCTTCCACTCTTTTCATCTTGTAGGGAGTGTCTTTCCCTTTGAAGCATAAGAGATCCTAAATGCTCACTTGGTGTAACAGCTGTAACAGAGACTATTATGAGGATGGCTACTACAAAGAGCATCATTTGAGAAAATCAGCTCTCTCTAGAGAGATCCAAACACTAACATGGGTAGGAGTGTGTGTTTTTAGAAATGTGTGTGTAGGACTCTATATGTTGATTGGTGTTAAAATTGCAAATATAGAATGTCAGACTGCATATTACCTTACAAGCCATTTAGTTCAATGCCATCTTTTTTTTTTTTTTTTTCCTCTGTGGATTTAAAAAAAATTGAGCTCTTTAACCAGAGGATTAATGGACTCACTCAAGGAAGGCAAAACCTGTTGCCTGCAGAGTCAGAAACCTGAAAGCTGGATCTTCTGATTTCCAGCCCAAGGCTCATGAGTCTGCATTCCTTGAGTGTATGATGCCTGAGAAGGATGCAATAAAAGGGTTCCAAAATCACAGGAGAATGAAGGTATGAAGTCAACTCCTAGGAAGGTAGACAATTCACCTACGGATCACTGGGCCTTCGGTGTATTTGACTGACTGACTCACAATAAAAACTTGCGACAGGATCAAAACAAAGCACATTTGCAAGGTCAAGTCAGGAGGTAAGATGGTGGTGAGGTGTCAACTGCTTCCCCAAACGGATCCACTAAAGATGCCAGCGATCAGCCTAAGGACTAAGTGCTGGGAGCTTAGGAAAATCCTTTCTCCTCCAAAGACAGGAACAGGTGCACAACTAGAAGTTACGTGTTAAAAATTTACATGCTGGCTGACAGGTCCCATGGAAAATGGAGACAGGCAGATCGTCGATTCGATTGTGACAATGACCAAAGCCCACACTGAGTAAATCTGAAGGCTAAAGGTAAACACAGAACTGAGGCTGCTGTCAGTCTCCACGTGGAAAGGCTCCTGTGTTCTAGACTTTTCTAAAAGGATGAAAACAGCGCGGGCTGGTGCAGACTGCAGAAATTGCAATAAGCGCTGTGTGAACTTGGCTCTGACGAGCACGGCCTACCTGGGAGCCCCTTGAATGGTGAAGGCCTTGTCAGCGTGCTGGTCACCCAGCTTCGTCATCACTTCATACAATTTGTGGCAAAGCTAAAGGGAAAGAGACATTGGTCTATTAGCTGTAAGTCATTCTGGTGCCAATTGAGGCTACTGCCCTAAGAGAAGAATTGTTTACTGAAAAACTGAGAACCTTAACGATAGTAGGGATGGTCTCAGGATACCTTTAAATTCTGCAAATGGACAATTGAAAACTCATGTCAAGGGGCGCCTGGGTAGCCCAGTCGGTCGAGTGTCCAACTTTGGCTTAGGTCACGATCTCAAGGTTCATGAGTTCAAGCCCCACGCCAGGCTCTGTGCTGACAGCGCAGAGCCTGCTTGGGATTCTCTGTCTCCCTCTCTCTCTACCTCTCCCTGCTCTTTTTCTCTTTCAAAAAAAAACAAAAAAACAAAAAAAACCCAAAACCAAACCCATGTCAAAACCGAAAGGCCACAAACACAAAAAAACCTTTAGAAAACCAAAATACATTACTTAACCAGAGTACAGGACGGAAAACAAACCCTTATTGTTTCCACCGACTCTACTACAGATAGAGTCGAACAGCCACCCTGCTGAACTAAGAGTACTTGACGACTAAGTGGTAGTTGATGACAGGAGTGTCGACTGACTGAATGTTCGGACACCAATTTTTCCTCAGCCTCAAGAAGTATCACTTTTAAACACCACCTTTTAAAGCTGACTGGAAACAAAACCAAACAAAACAAGACTGTGAGACTGGGACACGGAGAAAGAGCATTCTGGAAGAGGAATGCACAGAGGCCAGGACTCCTGAGGGCGAGGAAGAATTACGGGAGAAACACCACCGACTGTAATCACACGCCACGAAAACAAGCTCGCGGGTAAGCGACGATGCTACGCCATTTCATTTGCTTTCGGGAAAAAAAAATGTTCACTTATTTTATGTCCCATAAGGAAAAATCATCATCCTTACTTACCACCGCTATTTCCTTATGGAACTTGGCCTCGAGGCTGGAAACATTCTTGAAAGTGTTGACGTAGAACCCAACGCGTCTGCCACGTGGAGACACAAGGAGGAAAGAAGGATAGGGAAAGCCTGGTCAGCAAGACTGCATTTTTAAAAAAATTTTTTTTAATGTTTTATTGATTTCTGAGAGAGAGACAGCATGAGCAGGGGAGGGCCAGAGAGAGAGAGAGAGGAGACACAGAATCTGAAACAGGCTCCACGCTCTGAGCTAGCTGTCAGCACAGAGCCCAATGCGAGGCTCGAACCCACGAACTGTGAGATCATGACCTGAGCCAAAGTCGGCCACCCAGGCGCCCCAGCAAGACTGCATTTTTAACGGCAACGAAATGCAATAGGAACAGGTTTCCTTTATATAATTTTTTTATGCTTTTATTTAGTTTTGAGAGCCAGAGAGACATCATGAGCAGGGAAAGGGCAGAGAGAGAGAGGGGGAGACAGAATCCAAAGCAGGGTCCAGGCTCTGAGCTGTCAGCACAGAGCCCGATGTGCAGCTCGAACTCACAAATTGTGGGATCATGACCTGAGCTGAAGTTGGATGCTCAACCGACTAAGCCACCCAGATGCCCCTCCTTTATATAATTTTGAATAATGCTGGGCCGCGACTGCTGGCCTACAGCACTTTCCTAAGGCAGCAGGTGTGAAGAGATGGTGGCTCTCACACTGGGGAAAACCAGGAGAGTGTTCTGATTCTGCAGGTCTCAGGTAGGGATGGAGGATTTGCATTTTTTTTAAAGTGTATTTCTTTTTGAGAGAGGCAGGGAGTAAGCAGGGGAGGGGCAGAGAGAGACAGAGACACAGAATCTGAAGCAGGCTCCAGGCTCTGTGCTGTCAGCATAGATCCCAACATGGGGCTCAAACCCACGAACCGTGAGATCAAGGCCTAAGTGAAGTCAGACGCTTAACTGACCGAGACACCCAGGGGCCCCAGGATTTGGATTTCTAACAGGTTCTATGTGACATTGACGTTGCTCGTGCAGACAGAACGCTTTTTGAACAACTTCCCTGAGAGTCTGCTTGTATTTTAGATGTGTGTCTCGTAAGGGCTGGAGATAGAGAAGTTTATCATTAATTTTTATCATTTAATGTAATGACATATATGTAGTATCGTCTTGGTACCATATGTTTGGATTCTAAAATGTGTTTGACAGGGGGAAATAGAAAACCTACCAGTTAATTATAATCCCTCAGCAAAAATAAGAGGAAGCAAATAAAGACACACGCTGTCCATTCACAGTATCCCAAACAGGCTTGTTAATGGAGAAAATACAGGAAAACTCCTTGAGGTCATATAGGTCATAATGGCGAACTGCCCAAACTGCCCAGGCCAGGTGCTCCCCACACCCACTTGCTTTCCCTACCTCTGCACAGCGATGACCCCAAGTCACCCTAACCCTATACATCCAATCCCACTTCCTTTCTCTACCTCTGAGGAGCAATGATCCCAAGCCACCCTACCCCTATACACTCAATCAGCTTTAAATGCCTCTGCCAGCACGGGTGGGCTTCTTTTAAATTTATAAGCAAACTACCACTTTTGTTCAGGGCTCAGTCTTTAGGGAACAATCCCACTGGGCCCGCTGGCGTAATAAAGCTGTGCTCTCCCCGTTCTCTGCACGCTGCTTGAGTTTTCTCCGGTCTCGGCCTATTTTTCCTCAACATTGTGAAGCAAAGCCACGGGGTGGGACTTTTAGGTCCCTAATGGTAAGCCCACCCCTCGATCCTATGAGTTCAGCCCAACACCTCCTGTATGGGCTCCCTTTGCTCTAAATGAGGACTCTGTATTATTTCCATTTTTTTGAACCCATCTAGTAAATTACTACTTTGACTTAATTCGTGTTCTTGTTTCACTGATGTTCTCACTCCAGAATCCTGACTGGTTCATTAGATTCTAAATCCCAAATAAGGACTTAGACACCAGAAACATTAGACAGGCCGGATATATGGAATAAACATATATGGGGGGGAGGGTTGTAATAATAATAGTATACTATTTAGTATATAATTTAATTATTTAATAATAACTTATTGCGGTGCCTGGGTGGCTCAGTCGGTTAAGCGTCCGACTTCGACTCAGGTCATGATCACATGGTTGGTGGGTTCGAGCCCTACATCGGGCTCTGTGCTGACATCTCAGAGCCTGGAGCCTGCTTTGGATTCTGTGTCTCCCTCTCTCTCTGACCCTCCCCTGCTCACATTGTCTCTCTCTCTCTCTCAAAAATGAATAAAAACATGAAAAATTAAAAAAAAATGATAACTTATTATTGGGGAGTAAGAATGGGCCTGTACACAGGAGGGCCCCTCTTATTTAAACAATGACATGAAAGCACAGATAAAAGGGGGCTTCCTACTTAGCTGTGCCTTGTGTTGAGCAGGATTCCAATAAGCAGAAGTGGATGAATGTTCCATCACCACCATTAAGGAAACAGAAAGAGCTGCCATGTAATAGGCACTTTTATATGTTCCCTCACTTAATTCTTGTAACCACCCCCCAGGGTAGTGAGCCTCATTTTATACCCAGGTCAGCCGAGGCACAGGCAGATTAATTGTCCAAGGTTTTGCAATCAATAACTGGAGAACCTGTACTTGGATCCAAAAGGAGGAAAAACCAAAAGAAAAGCATAGACTGTTTGACAAGAAGTTCTGCTTAAATACAAGTATCATTATTTCTGTACTCTCCAGTTAATTAGGGTTTAGAATTTTAACAAAATAAAAGATAAAAACCCAATTTAGAGACTCAGAGATGAAACAGTAGTTAAGTACTATGTGAAACTCACCAGTAAGACTTACTTTCTCTATGTCTTAACCTGTACCTTAAATTACTACCATGTTCCACTTCATTTTTCTTTTTATTTTATAAGACTAGTTTATTTGGGTTTCCTTCATTTTTTTTCAGCTTTATTGAGGTATAACTGACAAATAAAATGGTGAGATATTTAAAGTGGACATTATGGGGGCGCCTGGGTGGCTTAGTCGGTTAGGCGTCCGACTTTCGCTTAGGTCACGATCTCGCGGTTCGTGGGTTCGAGCCCCGCGTCGAGCTCTGTGCTGACTGCCAGCTCAGAGCCTGGAGCCTGTTTCAGTCTGTGACTCCCTCTCTCTCTGACCCTCCCCTGCTCACCCTGTCTCTCTCTCTCTCTCCTAGAAATAAA